TAGATAGATAGATAGATAGATAGATAGATAGATAGATAGATAGATAGATAGATAGATAGATAGATAGATAGATAGATAGATAGATAGAGTCAACATGAGGGTTGCCATGACATCGTGCACGAGAGACGATTTTCACTTACTTTAACTCTTTCAGTACACAAGGGATTCCAGTTTTACGGACCTGGACGCGAACGATGTTTCCTTAAAATGGCCAGAATTCAGACACATATTGATAGATTTGTTTGACTGATCACTCAAACTATTCGTAATTAGTCAGAATATCGCAATATGGGTGAAAATAGGTAGTTAAAAAAAAATGTTTTTACGGCGCTCGACGCAACTGCAGAAGGTCTAATGAGCCCGCGGGACTCATTTAACATTTTTAGTTTGGTAGGAATTAATTTTAAATTTTGCCCCGGTGACCGCCGAGGCCTACTCTTATCGATTTTTGGACCACCAATGGATCTTTAATATGCATACTTGCACACATGACCTCCGAAAATGTTCGCCTTTATCCGAGAAGGCAAGTTGTTAGATCTTACCTAAATAGGGAGTTAATGAAGCGCAGGTGTAGATATTGGGGTTGACGTAATCGGTACCCCCAAAACGTCACTAAGTGGCGATCCGTAATCAACAGTATTAGACCTTTACCGGTTCATCAGCGGTATCGGTTTAGCTACAGGTATAGCAACAAACCATACCTTGGCACTTGTGGGGTGCTTCTTTTTTTTCCCCTTTAAACATTTAAAGAACGGCGCATCAATGAATGTTCTTTATAAAATGTCAATTAGTAAATGTCTGATGATCTGCCGAAAGTTCTTCAGGTTACTGAGCAGGATGACTCTGCCGAAAGTTCTTCAGGTTACTGAGCAGGCTAACCTGGTTTGAATCCCCTCTTGGACGTTTGTGTCTCTAAGTTGTTTGGGCGGTTTTCGAGCTGTGCTGCTGGAGCGTATTGTACCAAAAGCTTTCCTTTCAGAAAGCTGCTTTAACATAGATAATAAGTCATTTGCACTAACTACAATATCAAAATAAGACCTCAGACGCCAGCTGTTTAATAATTATGTACTATCTCCTTATTGCTGGTTCTCGAGACAAATGTAGAAAAAAATCATATCAAGTCAGAATTTAGGGAAGCGCGTATTATTATGTCTTGTTGTAATATGAAAAGGCAACAAACAATTTTTTTAAAAATATGGGCAGTAAAGAAATTATAGTCCTGCATAAGTATCCTGAAGTATCAAAGTCAGAGGGCGACGGAGGGCAAGGTCGAGATGAGGATGTTGGATATGGGGGGGGGGGAGAACAGGAAAGAGGGAGGGTTGAGGAAGAGAGGGA